TAACTCATCCATTACGCCCTTGAGTGCCCTAGCACTCCTCCACTGGCAAGAGTGGATGGTCTGCAACTTGTCAGAGGCCCTGATGCCTCGTGTGACATCAGCAAACCTTTTACGAAGCAACTTAAAAAATTCAGAGAGAGGGGTGATTTTGGAATACGCTATCATACTATTTTCGCATTGGGCAGGTCGGGCAAGCGATCTGGCAAAGCTGGATGCTTCGTCTTTGAGGGCATGGAAGGCGATGAGGACTTTCTCCTTAGGTATGATCTTCTGCAAGTGGATGTACGAGTTGACATTTGCCTCCTAGTTATCAAAATTCTCCTCCTTCTTCTCGCTATAGGAATTAGGGAACTTGACCTTAACTGGCTCTCTGCGCGGTCGGGCCTCTTCTTCTTTAACGCCTCTTGTCTTGGCGCCCTTGATAGCGCCCATACAAAACTTTTGCGTGCCCTCTATAATCGTGCGCAGTTCGCTTCCTACATGCATCATCATATCTTTCACGAAATCTTTAAAACCGACGCGCATAGACTGCAGCGTAATATCGTGGCCCTTTAGATAACGCAATTGCTCTTGTTGCGCCCTCAACATCACTTCTACGCTTTGCGATAGAATCTCCACCTTCTTCTAGAGATCTACCCGCACGACCATCTTCCCATGTTCTACTTCAGCGGCCTTCAAATCCTCTTCCATCCTCTCGGCCACCTCCAATCTTCTCCTCCTCTCACGGGTGAGCCGTAGTTTCCATTCTAACTTCCTCTCCTCCTCCATCGCCTGCCGCTTCAAATGATTCTCTTCCCCCTCCAACTCTTTTGTTAACTGCGCCCTCTCTACCTGAGGGACAAACAACAACGCCTCTTCCTCCTCCCCCAGGGCTAGGTTGTCCACCCAATCATTCACCATCCTCTCCATCTTGGCTTCTGTTTCCCGCGGTCCACTGGATTCCCCTTTTTCTTCCCTTCTTGCTCTTCTCTCCAGTGGCTCCTTTGCTTCTTCTTCTTCTTCTGTCTCTGATTCTAACACCACCAACTTCTCCTCCTATTCCTCCTCCCACCTTTGGATCTCCTCCTCCATCTGCTTTTGTTTGGCCTTTTGCTCCTCCATCAAGGCCAACACCTTTGTCTGCTTAATAAGCTCCCTTTTCTCCATCTTCTCCTTTTCCTCTCTCAGGATAGCCGCAACTTTCTCTTCTTGCTCCTTAGTATACGGGGCGGTACTCTTCCCACTACGCGTCTCAACCATGGTGATAGATGCACAACTGGGTGTCAGTTCCACTCCTCACCACTTAGACTTCCATCCCCTGACTGACTGACTATATGACTCTCTAAGGACCACAGAGCCCTTGTGGGACCCTGTCAACTATGGTCTCTAGCCTAGACCTATCACTCTAGCCTAGACCTATCACTAAGCTGTCACTACACAACTTACTGCTGATCAGGAGGCATTTAAGGAGATCCCCCGTAACTCCTCATGAATTATTTAACGTCGCAAACAGGACGACGCGATCAGCAAGTCCCCTCGTTGTGCAGCCCACAACTCGGATTTTGGGCCTACCATGCCACACTGAGCAGCCCGCCAGTTTGTACCAGTTGTCGGGAGGGTTTGTCCTCCGGGTCAGTTAGTCGTCAGACACGGCCTTTATCCCTACTCAGCCCATGTGAGTTTGGTCAACAAGGCTCTACGACCTCATACACGTGCAATGACTTGCTGATTCTGACTGCCGAGGTTGACTGCGAGGCTGTACACTGACCGGTAGGGTTAGATCCGTAATTTTGTTTGGTTGAGGGCTAACTTAGAGACCTAACTGTGAGGAAAATTCGTGAGGGACATATCTGCAAATTTGGGAGAATATAGCCCTAACACTAACTGAATTTCCTGCTACTACCCTAACTGCGAATAACAGGCCCGGACTACCCCTAGGACAGACAGGCCCTAAGTGGCCTATACTGATAGACGGTCCTATAGCCTATAGCCGGGTCCGGTAGAGGCCGAGAGGCCGAAACAGGAATGGTACCGGTCGGTCAGTCAGTCCGGTCTAGGTCTAGTGTAGTTTATAGATAGGTTAGGCGCATCGATTCAAGACTTTTGGCAGTTCATTCCTCGCGAAGCAGCTTGGGAGAAGCCAAGCAAGTTGGTGGCGGTGTCTGTCTGCAGGCGGCATCCTGAGACTTCGCCGTTGACAGCAGCCATAGCCGGCCCAGTCCGAGTCTACCATAGCTGGGGCATCCTCAACGCATCTACCCCTGGGGGTACCTGCGTCTGGCCGGGCTACATCGAGGCTCTACACTTTGTATTCGTGGGTGGTGGCAGCCATAGCTGCCTGTTCCTTCGTCAAAGTTGTCCATCTACATTGAAGACTTCATCGCAGGACCTGTTCTTCATCAGGGTGGTTGGCGCTGGCCCCTGGGAGGCTATTCTGGTGTGGCGCTACTAACTGGGTGTAGGATAGAGAGTGGGGTGTGGGTTCTGAGAGTGGCAGATACTGGAACAAACTCTGTTACGATAATTGGTTGAGTTGGCTCATCATCAGTGCGATTTCAATTGTTATCCTTGCAGGTTCTTCTTGTGATTGGTTGTTGGGAGTTTGTCAGAGAGTGAGAAACACTGTGTGTCTTCTCCCCATCTGTGCATAGTTGTATTCCGCTGCCTACTCTGTTCTGTGTGCAGTGTGGACTTTGTCTCCTCTCCCCCTTCTCTTATGCATGTATGGGCGTGTATGAGATTGTTTGTGTGTGAGTGGCTGTAAAAATCGTCAGACAACCAAGTTCATAACAGCTGGTATCGGAGCTGGGATTGGAATTGGAACACAGAGGGTTGAGCGCACTGAGGCATCTTCTTCATCTGGCGATCTACTGGCGAGAGTTTCATGGCGATTCATCTTCCTAGTACTGAGTCAGCAGGGAAGAAGACTTTCAGCGGTGGATTCAAGTGTTCAGTGGTTGCACTGAGCAAGCGCACTGAGCCTGTCAGGGCGCTTGTCAGGAAGTGGCGAGTTCAGGGCTAATTCGCCATAGCCAACCCTGAGGGTAGTATTGCGAAGTACCCCAGAGTGGCGAATTACCCTTGAGGACATCAGGGAACCCTAAGCGGCATCATCCCTGGGTAGCGCTGGCAGAGATTGACAATTTGTATTAATCTCCAGGAGAAATAACCCCATCTGGGGCTATTTTTAGCATCAGCGGCTACCAGGCACTGTGGCGAGATATTTTGTTGTTGGCTATCTGGGCGCCACAGGACCAGATACAGTGGATCTGGGTTGAGGGAGTGCAGCGCTACAGGATCTTGAGGAGGATCAACAAGTTTGGAGCAGTTTTGTGCGTGGGATTGTCAGGAGGAATACCTGGAAGAAATTGGCGAGATAAGGGTTATCATCTGCCATAGCCAGATCTTCATAAATACCTGCAAGATTCTCTGAAAGTGAGTCCGTTCCATGCACCTACCTGCATAGCGATCCAGATAGGATTAGATTAGTGAATTATAATGGTCTATCTGTCCGTCAGTGATTGGATGTGAAAATCGCAGACTGCATGACAGCCATAGCCATCTCTTCCCACCTCTCTCTGCTCATTTCTCATCCTCTGTTGACTCCTGATGATCCAAAATTGTTCCGTGACTGCTTTACTGCATTGCGATTATTCTGGGACGCTCAAATTGTGAATTTTGTACTGGAAAAGTAGTGAAACTGTGAATTACAGTTTTGCGATGAGTGTTACGATCCTGGTCATTTCCCAAGTGCAAATTCACAATGAAAGACAATGCCACCCAATTGCGAAAGAAATGAAAGCACTTGCAAAGAGATAAAGACCAGAGGAGAAGAAGAAGAAGAAGAAGAAGAAGAAGAAGAAGAAGAAGAAGAAGAAGAAGAAGTACACCAGCAAGACCAATGACAATTCCCCCTTCTCTCTGCACCTTCCTCCTCCTCCTTCTCTTCACCAATCTTATTCTTCTCTCAATAATAATAATAACAATGAATGGATGAACCAGAATCAATATCCGAAGTTCCCCCTTACTGCTGACTCAACTCAACAACAACAACAACAACAACAACAAGTCCACCATAGCTATGGCTTCCCTCCTTCAGCCTCCTCTCTCATGAGTAGGCTATGGTGGACTACCCCCAAGCAGCTAGGGTGCTGCGCTGATGTCCAAGGGACAACCCAAGCAGCTATGGTGCTGCGCGGATGTCCAAAGGACTACCCAAAGCAGCTATGCTGCTACTAACTTGGTCCGCAATGCCTGACTCTGCCTCGAGCTTCCTTGGTGTCGCACTACCCCAACTGGGGCCTTCCAGATGCAGCGCCCAACAAGGTAATGAAGATGGTGTCTACCATAGCCACGTAAGTGCCTCGCCACCCTCTCCCTCAACCTCCTTCTTCCTCCTCCTCACACTGGGCTGCTCGCCATAGCCAGGTTGAGCGTCCAGCTGCCTTCACCTCCACCCAGCGCTGTAGCAGACCAGCACTAGCGCTCCAGCAGCATGTCACCAATCCTTGCATACCGCAAATGAGGAAGAGCTCTTCGCTCTTCCTGAAGATATAGTGGCCTACTGGCCTTCTGGGCGGTGACTTCCTAGGCCGAGCGGCCTCCCAGCAACCGGTACCTCCTCCCTTTCGGAGGGAAACATCATTGCAGGCTCTGTTATTGTCTGGACAGGCCCTAGACCCGGGCTACTTGGACTGGTACCGACCTACCTCTAGCCTACCGCTACTGGGCCTCTAAAAATGCCAACTTTTTGTCTTCCTCTGCTCGGCCTACTTGCTACTTGAGTGTTTTTCCCCAGCTGCTCTAAGTGTCGTGGGCCTACCCCCCGCTACCCGAGTGTTTACCCCCCCTGCAACCCTCAAAGTCACGGCCACAGGTAAGTACCGGCCCTGCGGGGCCTTGCAACCAACAAGTACCCTTATGGGTTACACACACACTCAACTGACAAGCACTCAGACAGGCATGCAAACGGGCAGGCACGCACACACACACAAACTTGGAAAACACAGCAGAATGCGGGAATCACAGCAAGGCATTCATTCCAGTGGCAAATCCTAGAAATTGGCAGTGTTCTCAGTCTGTGTTTTGGCGAGTCATTACACTACCCCCCCTCTCAAGAGCGAGGTCCCTTCGAGCGAGTAACTCATTCAGAGTCGGCACAAAAGGCATCATAGGCGTAGATCAGAAAGAGAGATTTGGTGAGACTGTAGGGAGTGAGTTTTGCAGAGAACTTAGCGGCCTGCCCATCAACAATCTGTCGTTCGTATGCGTTCACAACACGTGGAGCACTCTTTAGCAGTTCTCTCCGGTCGATCCAGAAAAATTCGTTCAGCGGGTGATAGAGGAAGTGAACCTTGTACTGTCTGTTCCTCCCTCTTCCTTCGTGAGAAACGATTCGGTCTATCTCATGGCCGCCGTCGATAGTGCGAGGTATCATAGGGTCTCGAAAAGGAAAAGTCTCATCATCAATGTGTGGGAACAGTTTGGACGCATGAAAGACCGGATATGTGCGCAGGTGATGAGGCACATCAATCACATGAGAAGGACCAAAGTCATCACCAATCACCTTCAGAATCTGCCATGGGCCGTAATACAATGGAAGAAGCTTCCGTGATACACCCTCTTCATCAGAAAACCCAGACATTTTGACCCAAACATAATCCCCTACTTGGAACTTTGCTTCTTTGCGCAGTTTGTTAGCGTGTTTGATCATGGCATGCTGACGCTTGTTCATTGCTGCGATCGCAGCCTTGAGCAGGCGTGCATACTTGGCATTGTAGCCAGGCATGCCGGGTGTCAGACCAGGGGACCGTTCTGGGAATAAATAGGAGAGGGGATTGTGCAGCTGCCAACCGTACTGCAGCTGGTTCGGCGTTACGCCCGTCGCAGAGTGAATGGAATTGTTGTACAATCCTTTCACTTTGTGTAACTCCTTATCCCAGGTATTCTGATCTGGAACGATTAGTGCACAAAGCAATTGAATGACAGTCTGGTTGATTTCCTCAGCCAATCCGTTGGCTTCGGGGTGTCGACCAGAAGTCTTGTTGAGTTTGATGTCATAGATCTGTGAGGTGAAGTCCTTCCAATCGGCGCTGATGAACCTGGTATCCCGATCACTCACAAGAGTTTTCGGGGGTCCATACTGCAGAATGTACTGTTGGTGAAATTCTTCAATCACTAGTTCAGTCGGTGCATGAGGAGGTAGAGGGATCAGGTTCAGAAATTTAGAAAAGTGGTCCACAATGACCATAACTTGTGAGTTCCCTGCCGCACTCACCTTTCCCATGTCTGTGAAATCGATAGAGACCGACTCCCCGGGACCATCAGGAATTGGGAGGGGTTTCAGCAGGCCATAAGGCTTATGCCTATGGACCTTTGTTCTTTGACAGACTTGACACTCAGCGATAAATTTCTGAGCAGATCCCTTCATTCCCAGGCAATCAAACTGTTGCAAAAGACTCCCATATGTCTTTTCAAAGTCGAAGTGTCCACTCCGACCATGTGCCAAATCCAAGAAATGAGTCCGGAGAGGCGCATGGTTGGGAACACACAAACGATCAAACTTTCCGTACCGGCGAAATACAAGACCTTCGCATTCGTGAAAATCAGGCTGACTGTTGGGGTCAGCCTTGAGCTGCTCTAGGATGGGACTAAGGTCCGGATCCTTGGCAGTGTGTTCGACCAGATCCTCCTTCAGTTTCCTCCGGAGGTCGTATGAGTCCACAAGGCAAGTCAAATACTCGGGATGGCGTGACAAAGCATCAACAACACGGTTATAACAGCCTTTCTTATGTTTTAGTTCAAAGTTGAAGACATCAATGTCATGCAGCCAGCGGGTCAACGTTGGAGAGAGATCAGTTTGCGTCTTAATCCACTGCAAGGTCTGATGATCTGAATAGACCTTGAAGTGACGACCCAAGAGGTAGTGCTTCCAATGTGTGAGCGCCTCGCGCAAGGCGTAGAGCTCACGCATATATGTGGAAGTAGCTACCTTGTGGCTGGGCATGTGTTTGCTGTAATATTCGAGCGGGCGCAGGCCATCACCGTCATCTTGTTGCAGCACTGCGCCAATCCCAAACTGGCTCGCGTCTGTAGTGACTACGAACGTGAGGTTGGGATCCGCAATGCGAAGCACAGGATGACTCACCAAAGCCTCCTCCTTCAAGGCTTGGAACGCAGTCTCACATTTCTCACACTACACATAAGCAACATTCTTACTTGTCAGTCTCGAGAGTAGGTGAGCAATAACAGAAAATATGGGTACAAACTTCCGGTAATAAGAAGCCAAACCGAGGAAAGAACGCAGTTCGCGTACGTTCGTTGGTTGACGCCAGTTTCGAATGACCTCAACCTTGGTTGCCTCCGGCTCAAGGCCGTTTGCAGACAATTGGTGCCCGAGATAGATGACACTGTCCCTACCAAACTCGGATTTCTCTAAGTTGAGGTGCAGTTGAGCTTCCTTGAGGACTTGCAAAACCTCCTCAAGATGCTTGACGTGCTCCTCCATGGACTTGCTGAAAATCAAAATGTTGTCAAGATACACAACCACAAACCTGTTAAGCTGATGGTGGAGTACCTTGTCCATGAGGCACTGAAATGTGGCAGGTGCATTCATAAGACCGAAGGGCATAACGATGAATTTGTACAGCCCGTCGCGAGTCTTGAATGCAGTTTTATGTTGGTCGCTCGGATCAACTTCAATCTGGTGGTAGCCAGACTTGAGGTCGATCTTGGAGAAGACCTTGCATCCACCTGCTGCATCTAACAAATCATCTATGCGAGGCAGAGGGTAAGCATTCTTTCTTGTAATCCGATTCAGGCCACGATAATCAATACACATCCGGAGTTTGCCTCCTTACTTTGGTACAAACAAGACAGGTGCGCCAAATTCAGACTCACTCGGCCTAATCCATCCACGATCAATCATGTCATCAATTTGTCTCCGCAACTCCTTCAACTCGCCTTGTCCCATACGGTAGACGCAGCCCTTTGGAGGAACACTCCTTTCTATTATTTCGATCTTGTGTTTGACTGGACGCTCGGGAACTCCGCGAGGTTCAGCCAAGACTTCAGGAAATCGATCTAATAGACAGCGAATGTTTGCTGGGATTTCCGGTGGAGGATCATCCTCATCAAGGGAAAGAAAATTAGATTGAGGATTTACAGCAATCACAACCGGTTTCGAGGTATTTGGATCAGAAGTAGGTTGATTATTTATAGTAGAAGTAGGTGGAACAAAAGTAGAAGTAGTAGAGGTGGAGTTACTTTCCGACGTAGAAAATGCAGCAAAAGTAGAAGGCACATGGAGAGGTTTTACAAGAGCTATATGTACAAACTCAATCTCCTTGCACCTGCGCACTGATTTGCAGAATTTGGTTGCACTTAGAAGAGTCACAGGGGACTCGCGCGTCAATCCAATAGGACGGTACGCTCGTTCCCCTTGGCATCACGCACCACGAACTGGTTGTCCGCCCACGTGGTCCTTAGGCAATGAGCCTTTAACCAGCCCAAGCCAATGACCGTGTCGAACGGACACTTGTCCATGACATAGAAGTTGAGCTCATGTGTGACAGTGCGGTCCTTGTCAAAGGTGACGCGCACACCTTTGACAACATGTGTAGAGGTGACAACCTCTTGGTTACCCACCTGGGTCTGACAAGGGTTCTGCAGTTCCACTTGCTTCATTCTCAGGCCCGCCTTACGGATCCCGTTAGGAGAAAAGAAATTAGTGGTTGAACCACTGTCAATCAGCACGTGGATGTATCGGCGGTTGATGAGTAGTTTAAAGAAGGTCAATTCCACACTCCCTTGAACACGGCGTTGCTGCTTGAGCTGCAGCCAATGTTCCATGTGAGCGTGGAAGTCAACTTCCTTAGACTTCTCCCAAGGCTCGGTGTACAACACATGAACTGCAGCAGCCTTGGAGTCAGCGTCGTTTCGGGCTTCAAGAGTGGGTTGTTGATCAGATTCAGGCTCATCGGAGGGGCCTGCATCTGATGTTCCAGCTTCCCTTGTTGTAGGGAGTGTTGATGACTCCTCTACGCCCTTTTGTTGTTTCCCTGAAGTCTGAAACAGTCCTGCACAGCATGCCCAGGTTTTTGACAATGCAGGCATATGCGCAGTTTAGATCTTCTTTCCCATTCCTTTTTACTGATACGGAGGGCTTCCCAAGGCTTGGTTGATGCATCCTCCGGTTTCTCAGGGATCTTTGCATTCTTTGGGAGGTGGACAACAGTTCCCTTACCTGAACCACGGTTCGGCCCCTTGTTTGAAGCAGTCTTTCTGAAATCATTAAGCCTTTCATCTTCATTTACGTTGGACTCAATGGCTGATGAGGAACAACCCATATCGAAGTCCGGCTCTAGATTGTCATCTAGAGTCAAATCATCCGCATAGGACTGATCTTCAGCCTCTAGATGATCATGCAGTGCAAGTTGGTTTCTACTTCCAAACCGCTTGCGTTGTGGTTTCCCACCTGCAGGGGGCGCCTTCTTCCGCCTGGCGAGGTCCTTGGCCTCTAGGTTGACTAGATCCGTCATGAGCTCTCGCCAGGTGTTATGGTCTTTGAGTGCCAATAGGGAGAGGTATTCTTTGGGGGCCACTCCCATGACTACATCCATACAAGACGCATCGGTCATACCCAGATCCGGAGTAGTGAACAGACCAGTAAAGTGTTGTTCCAAAGCTTGCATGGAGGACCTCCATGTCTGACCCTTGAGGGCCTCAAGCTTCAGCCTAGCCTTGAGCGCAGCATGCTTGTCTTGGTACCGTGCGAGGAGAAGGTCCTCAAGGGCGCGTACAGGGGTGACCTTCAGCCATTCAGTCAGGTCTATGCGTTCATAGCCTGCAGCAATAGCTTGGAGCTCAATGTGGTTTCATACGGCGGGCTCAGTATTAGTCCCCATGATCATACTTCGGTCCTCTTGCGGTGTCCGCATGACCTCGAAGTACGACCGCATGGAACTAATCCAAGAGGTGATGTCTGCCTTCCCGTCGTACTTGGACGGCAGCGTGGCCGCCCGCTTGTCCACCATGGGCCCGCTGTACTGAACGCCAGTAAGGACTGTGGCGTTTTGGGCTGATGTCCCTACATTTGGGACGGTGACCAGCGCAGAACTGCCGGTGCTGCCGCTCGAGGAGCTAGCGCCGGTTCCTGCGCTTGCCACAGTTCCGCTTGCCCTTATTGTGAGGACTGTGTTAGTTTGAGAGACCGGGACTACAGTAGGTCGAGAGTTAGGAGGGCGGGGGGCAGACAGTTGGGACTGTTTGAGGCTGATTATCTCAGCCTGCAGCTCTTGGTTCCGCTGCTCCAACAGTGTTACACGAGACTCAAGATCCTCCAAGTTTCGCAGTTGAACCAAGGCTGTTACGGCAGCAGTTAGCCGCTCCTGGAACCGGTCAGCATTGGCTTCCGGGACCTGTACGAGGGCCACCTGAGCAACTATGCTTGTAGCCCTGGTTGCTGCCTCTCCCTCCCTCTCCCTCTGTACGGCGCCATCATACAATTTTTGAAAGAACGGTTTCTGGCTCTCGTCCGCTGCGTCCAGCATGGCCTGCCATTGGGCAGATGTGATGTCTGCCATGCCGGAGGAAGGGGTGTTAGTAGATCTCTCAAGAGGGGTCCGCTCTTGCCTGACGTTTGGACGAACACTCCTCTTGCCCCTCCTCACACTCTCAAACAAAACACCTTCTCTCTCCCTTTCTTCTCTTCTCGCTGTCTGCGCACGCGTCTCGATACCGGACATAGATAGTTCAGATAAAAGAAACAAACAGAAAATCACGCAGAGAAGAAGGTAGAACTCCTAGCCGGAGCGATGATTCATTTGGACTCAGAGAGTGGCACGCAGCGGAAAAGAATAAATAAATAGATAAATAAATAAAACAGAAGAGAGGGCTGATTTATAGAACGGGCCCGATCAGATCAGTTGGAGATCCCCTCTTGTCTAACCTGACAGGGGACATGTATGACAATAAATCAGCCGAAGAAGACTAACTGCAGCAATGGAGATTTCGAGGGGTGCAGACGGTCGCCGAGTCCGACGCGGGGCAGTATGTGATCACATGCGGTAAGACCAGTCAAGATCCCCTTGAAAGGAATGCCCTTGATGTCCGTATGTCCCCCAGATTCAGCACAGCAAACAAATGCACTAGCGGCAACAGATCTGGGCCCGAAAGGTCCTGTCCCACCGGACCTGGTCCCACTGGTCCCAAAAGGTCCCAAGTAGGTCGTGGACCAGGTCTAACGAGACAGGGGTACCAAGTCAGTCCCAAACTGTCTCTACCGTACTGAAAAGGAAAAGACAACTTTCAGCAAGAACTTACCCCTACTACCGTTCAGAAGTGAAAAGGCAATGCATTGTAGAAAGATAAGCCATTTAGAACAAGATACATCATCCATTCATCCATTAGGTGAGAAAGCAATCCACATGCTCAACACACACAACCGAGACTACAGAGAAGAGGAAAAGAGCCCAGTTACAACCCCAACAGGCCAAGAACCACCAAGCAACCACCCGTGGGCATACCCAAGTCACACGACACTTACCTGTGAGGCCCGGCCTCCAAAGATGATTAACGAGTCACCCCCCTCTCTCATAAGTCCTCCTGACCCCTAGCTACCACTACACGAAGTGTCCTAGCATGACTAAGAGGGCCTTCCTACACCCCTGTTGCAAAGCCGGATCCCCCGTCAATGACCGAAGACCAAAGTAGCAACTTCCAGCAATCCGATGCAGATATGGCAGCATCCGATCAAGTCTCCCTCTTGAGGGGAAGTCCAAAAGTCACTCAATGTCTTCCTGAAGTCCAGATTCCAGGTGCGAGTACCTTTCACTCTCTACTCCCTCTCGCTTACTCCAATCAGCCTCCTTTGTGTCTCGCCACCCCACACATTCACTCAAGCAACCTGGTTCGGTCCAATGTCGACCCTACATGACCTAACCAGGTGGGGGCAGCATCCCCATACCTCGCTGCCCCACTTAACCCTAACTTCCCAACCCTAATCCGAGATTAGGTTAGCCCTAACCTAATTCGGAATTAGGGTTAGGGTGACTAACACCTCTCGCCAGCAAGTAAGTCCGCTCCGATACCAATTGTTACGATCCTGGTC